CATCCATCATGCATGACAGACAAGACTCAAGTCTATTGTATCCATTTTTAAGGCTTTTCTGTCCAAAGTGGAGTTTTTTTCTCCTAATTCTTGAAAGGAGAGAACTTGCTTAAAATAAGTTAATGTTCTGTATTTTAAAAAAATTATCAAAAGTAAAATAGAGCTCATTAAATGATTTGTATTTTAGTAGTTATCATAGTAGTAAAAATGGTAGCTGTGATCTTTCTAAAATGAAATATAAGCCACATATACACAGAAACACACCTAGAGAATGTTTTCTAGGCACAGATGGGTGCCAATTTGCTGTTTGCAGATTGTTAGCATTGTTTAGCATATAAATGTATTTTTCTTGCGAGAAATCACTAAATAGATAGGTATATGTAGGTATGTATATGTTGGATGCATTTGATTAATTTAAATTTAAAAACAAATACTATTCCAAGTGTTGAAAATCTAAAACAGTGAATATAGAAGCTGAGATGTCCCTAAACCACAATTCTATATCTTATTCCTAGAGTGGAGAGATTAAATTGAAATACAGGTTTGCAGAAGTTTAATTCAACGCACCCACATCCCAAAAGAGTGGATACCGCCAATGATTAGGATTAGGATTAAATATATCGAGCCCTAGGTTGCCTTGCAGTGAGAACAAAGTTTCTCAAATGATAAAATCATGATGAATGACATTGTTGGCCAAACACCATGAATTTGGGAATCAATGAGTTCTAAATCTGTTCTGTGATAAATTCCTTTATTTATATTTTTCAAGCAATTTTGTCTTGAGAGGTAGAGCACAACAAGTGAGAAAGCCAAGGGATGGCTGGCACTCCTAGTTTCAGAAACTGTTTGATTAATATGGCTTTTATTCCAAATACTATTATGGTTTTCAACATGGGCAGTGAGATACATATCATTTGCATCAGCTCACATGGTATCCTATTAAATAACCTTTCATATAGTAACTAGTAAATTTTCATGACTTAAGTGCACAGTAAAGGAAGACATTCTGATATAATATAAACAAATTTATTGACAGGAAAAAAACATGCTGGCATTTCATGCCTTTTTTATGAGTGCTATCACAATGAAAAACCTGACTGTAATTTATTAAACATATATTTGATTACCAGGCCAATAGTGGTAAAAAAAACCTGCTTCCTTCGAGTTCAACTAAGGAATGCAAATAAAAATTAAAATGCAACATCCCCCCAAACACCAAACAGTATGGCAGAAGGATATATAGCTAATTTAACTGTGCAAGAGTGACCCTCAATATTTCTCCAGGTATGCTAAATCTCTTGTAGCTGCTAAATCCGATTTGCAGTTGAATGAAGCATCAGCTGTGGCTGGACAAGCCCATTTGCCTTTTGTAGGCTGGGTTTAGAAGACGATTGATATGTTTTAGCACTTTTGGGATTATTGTGATTAAGAGGAAACCACTCGAAGGATAGGGAAAAGGGTGTAAAAATACACAGCCCACAGCTGGTAAGCAGCATGTGTTTGCTATGAGGGGAGGTCAAGACTAGCTGATCCTGCTGGTTTTAGGGTTGATTGACAGATAAGAAAACTTGATATAATGAAGCAAAGGATTGCCTGCTTTGGTAGCTCAGGGAAACAGTTACCATAATTCAGTAAACATTAATGATAAAGGCTGTTTTAAGGATGCTGTTCTGGCAATTAAAATTATAGCTGCACAATATTTTTTTTAAAGCCTGTAAAAGTCTTCTAATAAAGCACAAAGAAGGCAAATGAAATGATCAATCTAGTCGTTTTTGAAGGTTGGCTTCAAGGGAATGGTTTGGTGATTGCCTTCCTGGATAATGAAGGCTTTTATTTAAAGGTAGAGCTATAGAACAAAATAAATGGATCTATCAAAATTAATTTTCTCAAGCGTGAAAATTGTTTGGCTCCAGGAAATGCGAGATCTGTTTTCTTTTTATTTATTTTTTGGGTGCACGTTCATTTATACAGGAGAAAAATCCTTCAAGAAAAAGTTGCTTTTTACAAAAAGAAAATATAAAGTAAACACCTGCCTCAGAAAACAATGTTGCTTTGTATCTGCTTTCTTTCTCTTATTACTATTGTTGTTAGTTGAAACTGTAGCTCACAATATATACAGACAACCATTTGCAAATGCGTATGAAAGTTTTGAATATCCAGTTCCTTTTTTCTTCTTCTTCTTCCTCTTTTTTTTTAAATAATAAAAAAAGAGTGGGGTTGTACCTCTTTCAAAATGTGAGTTTAGCATACCGCACAGGAAAGAAGGCAAGCTTGCCAAGTCCTGCTGAGCGTTTTTTCAAGCCTGTGAAAAGAATGAATTATTCAACAGTAAGCATGCTTACAGCTGGCCATTTGGGAGCTTTGATGTGCGAATCAGGCGATTGCATGAATGCCCTTATTGTCATGTTATGTGTACACAGTGTGTGAATTATTGAAAATAGTGAGGCCTGAGCCTCATCTGGTAGAGATTACAGTGCAGGCATGCTGGGTGAAGGTCTGTAATTGAAAATCCCCAGATGCTGTTTATTTGGCCCGTGTCACATGACCTTCTGCCGTAAGCTTGTCTGAACAAAACACAGCCTGTGCTGAAGAAGGGCTGCCCAATCTCGCAGGCTTTTAGTCCCTGCTTTTCCGTAAGGCTCAGAAAGGGGACGACTTTCAAAACTCACTGTAGGGATGACTTAACACCTGCCTATGCTGTACTATTTTTATGAAGGCGTAAAATAAATTTTGTTCATGGATTTTAAATGGCAAGTCTCTCAGCTAGCAGAGGAAACTGTATGAACTGTTGTTGACCTGCCTACAGTGATTTCTTTCTTTCTTTCTTTTTTTTGCTAATTTGGATTTAAAATGTCTTCCTCTCTCATCATGGCAACTCAATATATGCACATAGAAGGAGAGGTTCCCCCCATTCTTCTGGGATGCTACACAGCTCGGCCCTCTTTGACTGAGATGCTGAAATTTTTGAATGCTGTACTCTAATCTTAGCGCTTATCTTAAAATAACTTTTCAAATGATGCTACTGAGAAGCATCTCTTAAACACCATGGGTCCAAACACTACTGGAACATGCACTGAAAAATCAGCAAAACAACAACAGCTGGAGTTAGGATTGGAAGATAAAATTGTGCTGCCCTGTCATGCTCCCAAAGCATTTCAAAAGAATTCTGATGAAAATCCATTCTGTTTAAAAATTAAAATTGCAAGGGATAAAAGCTCACTTGGAAGGGCAATAACAGTCACTTGATTTAATTGAAAATAAGATTTAAGAATATCAACTTTATGAATAGAAAGCAACTGTGCAAAGAAAAACACTAATTATGAATAAGACGCCAAAAATATATGCCCCCCAAAATGAATTGGAGTCTTTTATAATGCTGGAACATATGAAAATAGAAATTCTTGTCTTTCATAATTTTTACAAGAGGGCAGGGCCCTTGAGAGGAAGAAATTTAAGAAACATTGGATTGGGCACAGCTGGGAAGACGGACTTCTTTATAGAGATAATTGCCTCTACAGGTAGTGCTCAATTTATGATCATGATCAGGACCAGACTCTCAGTTGCTAATCAAGGCAGTTGTTAAGTGAGTTGCTTCCAATTTGATTGCTTTTTTCTGCACCCTTCTGATGGAAAGATAAAGAAGTGAAGTTAAACCAATGTTGTGGCCTGGGAGTTTGCTATTTGCTTCCCTGTTAACTTTATTTACTGCGGATAATTGAATTTGCAGTAAAACGTAAGTCTTGCAGTTACATTTCCTGCTAATCTTGATTGGAGTCAAGTGTTTTCAGAATTATTTTATTGATATAATATCTAGCCCTTTGCAGTTAGTAGAATATGTAACTTCTTTAGTGCCTAGGGACATCCTAGAACAGGTGGTCACAGGCAAGCCAAAAATGTGATTTAATATTAATTGCAAGCTAAATTTAAATGTAGAGAGCCAGTTTGCTGTAGTGGTTAAAGTATAAGGCTTGAATGCAGGAGGCCCTGGGCTCTAATCCCACATTGGATCCAAAGCCATCTGGGTGACCTTAGGCCAGTCACTTTCTCAGGCCTAGAAAGGAGGCAAAAATCTTGTAAAAAAAAAATGTCCAGACAATTGCCAGGAGTTGACACTGACTCAAAGGCATGGAAATAAATAAAGAGTTATATATGCTTATATTTTAATAATCACATTGTTTAATGGTAGAATTTTGCTCCCCTTTGTAACAGCTTTCTTCTGCATTTTTTTCAGCTTTTTGTCTGCCATTGTTCTCTCTTTTTAATACAGGTAGTCCTCAGTTTCCAATGTCAATTGGGAACAGAGTTGCTATTGCTAGGTGTTGTGTCATGTCAGATGATCATGTCTCTTAGTAACGGCAATTCTGGTAAGCCCAGTTGCCATGGTTAAACAAAGACCACACGAGTTGTTAAGTGAGGACCTCATGTGTTTGTGACTTCCCTGTTAACTTTGCTTGTGGGAAACTGGAATGTAATGTAAAAATTTGTGTGACTACTACTCGCTCAATACTGTAATCATGAACTGGGCACCAAGGGCTTGGATTACAATCACATGACCACGGAGGCAGTGCACCAGTCAGAACTCTGAGGACCAGTCAGAACTATCACTCATTCAGTCCTATTGTAAGTGTAAATGGTTGCTGAGTGAATGGTCATTAAACAAAAGCTATCTGTATAGTTTAAAATTAAAATAATTTGCTATATGCCAGAACTGTTTTAGCTGAAATACAATTTTTGGACAAAACCAAGGGGGGGGGGGAGGGAATCCAATGATACCTATGTATTCGCTTATTGAATTCTCCCATCTACAAATAGCAAAAGAGATTTAAAAATGGGGAAAACCCATTATGCAAAAAAAAAAAGTTTGCTGGTACCTTTTTCTCCCCCAAAATATCCCTGAACCATCTTTTCATTTCATCTATTTTAAGTTATCTTTCAATGTGTATATTATTCACGACGAATTGTTACTTTTAGCCTTCATTGTAAATTCATATTCATTTCAGGTAGGAATGAACTGATAGCCAGATACATCAAACTTAGGACGGGGAAGACACGGACCAGGAAACAGGTAAGACAATATTGCAGGATAGAAAATGTGTGTCAATGAATGAGTGAATGCAGCAGATGCAGAATGGTGCTTACAATATCTCAGGTTTGCTTTGAAAAATAGTGCTGTTTGTACCACTCACCACTTCCATATAAATTTCTTAGGCACCCAGGACACTTGCAGGATTAAAACTCCTATAGACCTGTAAAACAGTCTGGAACTATTAATCTAATAATATCAGAACAAATACTTTGCTGAGTTGGCATGATGGATCTGTGTTTTCTTAAACTCCCGGCTTGTTCCCAGCTTATTGTTCACATCTCAAAAGAATTAGCACTTATAAAAGCTTTCTGCAGAACCACACATAACTTAAGTTCTTCCTTTTGACACAGTGCATTAGCTAGAATTTGTTTAAGACCTACATAAATATTTGGGCTTCAAACAAATGGATCAACTGATGGTAGCATTGAGAAACCTCAAGGTGAAGAATCATATTTAAAAAGTAAGATACATTGATGGATTGGAATAGTTCACATGATATTTAAGAGAAAAAGAAAGAGAATGTTTCAAAATTAGCAAAACTTCATGAATAACCAGTAAAATGCTTGTTTTCTTTGAGACTGTAATCTGCTCAGTGTAAGGCTTTTAAGTAGACTACGCCAAATTCTTTGTGTGAAACATTTCAAATAGAAATAGCCACAAGATGTTGTCTAGGGGCAAAATATGAAAAGGAAGTTGACCCCATGATTAGCAAGTAGCCACTCAAATTTATATAAAGGCTCCTATAAGATCTATTAAAGAACTGATATATTAAGCATTTTTCTCCAGGAATAGAAATATGTTTAAGCAGATTTTTATGGAAGGACTCAGCAAACTGGTGACAGAATTGAAATACTACTTAAAGAAAAAGTAAAGGAAGGTTTTGGTTTTTTTTAAAAAAAAAAAATTTATACCTGACTCTACAAGTTTACAATTAAAATTTTACAATTTAAAAATTATTGTAAAAAAGAAAACATATATTGAATAAAAAGAATGAAACTGATCAGAAGACCAATCCCATATCATTAAATAATCAAAATATATCAAAATCCAAAGAAGCTGGATTTAAGCTTTCTTAAAGCATTCTTATCCAAGGTCTATAGGAACAACCAGGTTTTTAGCAATTTGCAAAAAAAAAATCAATCAGTTGGAAGTAGTCAAGATTTTCATAAAGAAAATTATCTCTGGCTGATCAAAGCCCTGTTACGGCATTGCAAATAGAGCATTTATTTCCTTCACGTGAGTGCCAATGATGACCCGTCTTGTCAGTGACATCTAGAAGAAATCCTTTGGATGGATCCTGGATTCCAGATGAATTCAAAATTTGTGCAATCACAATTTGAGCTTGTCAAATGACAGAGTTGGAATGGGGTTTTTAAGCTATTGCTTCCAATCTAGTGTAGGAATCCACATTAGAGCATCCTGGACAGATGGCTATCTAAACTCTCCTTGAATGCATTGAATGCAGTGAAGAGTCTACCATCTGTCTGGGTAATTGGATCATATGGAAGAAAATACCCATACAGTTCTATAGACAAAGGCCTTTTTGATGCAGATGACCTTGCTGTAGCCTAAGTGCCTTCTCTGGCTATGTATCTCTAGCCTTTGGAAGGGAGAAGGCTGGTGAGAATTTATCCCCATTGTTCATGTGATGACAAAATGTCCTAATTATAACCTTTGAATAGGAGACCTGTAATGTAGGAGTTTCTTTTCTTTTTTTAATTATCTATTTTCTGGAATATTGCTACAGTATGTGATCACAAAGAGGGGAATGGCCTAATGTCAGTGATTCATAGTCATCTGCATTAATTTTTTTTCCTGGCATCTTTTTGTCCATGGAGAGAAACTAAATTGCAGTTACTCTTAAAGCTGAGCTCCAAATTACATTAAAAGTAGATATACTGTACTCTCTAAAATTACTTTATGGCAGCATTTTTAAATCCCATGAAATTATTTGGACTATTTAAAGATAATATTGTAAAAATACTTTATTTTATTTATTTGCAGTATTTTTCACACATTTCCCTGAAGGATTTTAAGAGTTCAGTTCTAACATCGAGCTAACCATATGTAGAAAAATTAATGATGGCCTAATGTGAGTCCTAGTTTAACAGATCAATAGCTTTGAAATGAATTTCCAAATTATAACATTTGACTACCAATCTCAGTTGGTGAACTCAGCTTACAGTTCTTTTTCTGTCTCTAAAATGTATCTAAATTTTAGGGTGCTGCTAGGAAGAAAATAAAATTAATCAGCTGTGGATTGCCTATACCTGAAATTGTACTTTGAAAGGATGTAGTTGCATGATTATACTTTTCAAGACTCAGACACATTCTCTGTAAATCTCAGGGCAAGACACAAAATAATGGATCAAAATTACAAAAAGGTTGATTCCAACTTAATATTAGAATAGCATTAAGAGGTAAAAACCAATTGCCACCATTACACAGAAAAATTCTGAGTATCCTCTTCCCACATGAGCTCAATCAGAAGCTAAAAAATCTTGAGCTATGGATGGCTTAATTTGGAGCAGGAGGTTGATCTTGATGGCTCCTTTTAATTCTAAGATTTTTGGATTGTTTTAGGATATTTCTAAATAAAAGTAAAGGCACAGATATCAAGGTCAGTTTTGGAGTGAAGAACTTTAAAACTGAGTGGGATTATCAGGCCATAGGTCTGTCACAGTATGTTTTATTAACTTTTTATTTATTTATTTTTCAAAGAAAATGTTTCTGTACTTAGGACGTTTGAAGGCCATGCATCAAAGAGTAAGAAATTGCTTAGAAGAAAATAGCAACCAATTTGAACTTTTCACGTTAAGTAATTTATATGGTGTAATACATTGTTTATGTATTATAATTTATGTAAACTGGCAACAGTTGTTTAGTATTTTAAACTTAAATTTGTTTTTCTACTGCTGTCTGAAACTACTGGACAGTGAATTTCAAGCCTGTGTACAAGAAAATAGCTTTATCTCTTGATCATGTAATAAAGGGAAAAAAAACATTAGGACTTTCACAGAGTCGTTGAAATCAATTCACTGCTGAGATTATTCTAGGAATTAAAATTAAATACTTTATATGGAAGAGTACAATTTTTGGTAATAGATGACCTAGCATTCTTTGTTCTCTTTACTATGATGTAACTATTGTTATTACTTAGACTTTTTGTTTTTGTTTTTGCTTTTTTGTTTTGTTTTGCTTTGCTTTGATTCTTTTATTTTGCTTTTGGAATCAAATTGGACCTTCTGGTTACACTTAACTTGCATCTGAGAATCAAATAATCCAGATTCTAGGGATTTAGTATGCACCCACAAAGGTTGCCATTGTTTTTCCTGACTGTTCAAATGCATAGCAGTAGTACACAATGTTTTAAGTTAGATACACAGCAGGAAAAAAAACTAAACAATCAGGAATAGCCGCAGGGTATGCTCAAAGTGTATATATATCAAAATCTACAAAGGGAAGGTACGCGTCATGTGTTAATGTCTCATGCACATCCAAAAGGGGGCAGGCCTTGGATTGTGAAACCTTTTCCACTAACTTCCTGATTTTGAGCCCCGCCCACCTCTGAATGCCCATAATATGAGTTATTGTGTTCTAAGATTATATTGTGCAATAGGCTTAGCTGGAGTATGATTGAACATTGAGAGTAGGACTGGAGAACCATGCTCAAATTCCGATTTATTGAAAGATAGGGCCAAGCGTTATTTTTCACTCTAAATTTCTGATTAGGTTTTGCTGTGATTAAAAAGAAAGAGAGATTGCCCCAAGATCCCGAAACAAAGGCAAAATGTCACTGTCACTCCACATAAACTCTCTTTGCCATTTCACTGAAAATGTAAGACATCAGTACAATGTACAGATGCTGGATACTTTAAATTCTTGAATATGATTACTGATGATATATTTTTATAAGGCTACTCTAGTGACTTTCCCTTAAACCAGTAATCGCTGAGGTTCGGCAGATTTTCTTTTGCTTGAACCATTTCTTTCCTATGAAAATACAACTTTCTAAAAATGGTTTTAAGGAAGGGGAGGCAGTTGCGGGATATAAAATGTTTCTTAATTGTGATCATAGACCTGCTTAGAGTGCAGAATGTCTAAAGTTTTTATCCCTTAGAACAGATTTCTGACCATGAAATTGGTATGCACTGAATCAGAATCCTCTACACACTGAAAAGAAAATCATTGGTACATATGGCAGCTATATCGATTTATTTATTAGGCCCAAGAGGCCCTTGAGCCTTAAATTGTTTTAATTTTTATAAAATAAGAAAGAATAAAAATTAAGTAGAAGTTAATTATTTTCATCCCTTGCTTTTCAGTTCTGAAACTGTATACAATAAATAGAATTCAAAACAAATCTAATACAAATAAAGTGTAGATAAAAAATTAAAAACCTCAGTCATATATTAATTGCCACTGAGTTAATTTAATTATAAAATTTTATTTCAATTCTCACCACAGGGTCATTTTTAACACTAGGCCTTTGATTGTAGTAATGACAAAGTCCAGTGTAATAATAGTTGACACATACTTGAAATACGGGAAATCTGAACATCAAAACAGTGAACTTATTTGTAACCTATAGGTGCAGAGTGAATGCTAAAATTTAGTAGCCTTGATAATGTATCAGACATAATTGCCAACAACTAATTAGTATTATAAAATAATACATAGAACACTTATATTTCCTTATAAATGAACAAGTCTTGAGGTAGATTTGTGAGGCAGCTACTTTAAAGAGGGAGAGCGAAAATGAGACAATCCTTTCTGCATAATTTTATTATTAAATAGTTGCATTCTTAATATAATTCTACTTGGATCTTTTCTACTTTGTAGTAACATTATAGTGCCCTTAATAATACCACACTGTAGATCAGACCAGGAAACCTGCAGTGAAGGAATTCAAATAATCCTCATGCATCTGTATTGTAAATCATTGGATTAAAATATATATATATTCATAGCAAAACCAGCCTTGCAGTATAGTGGTTACTTTTAATTTCCCATTATGGCAGTGCCTATCTGAGCTTTTTTGGGGGGGTGGGGGGATAGTATTTTCTCCCGAAATAAAACTTTTTTCTTCAATATAATGTGAAATAATGTCATGAAGTTGAGTTAGAGACAAGTTGATTAGAATGATTACCATGCTGGTAATAGATGCAAGTTAAAATAAAAAGTGTCATAGCAACAACTACAATAAGAATCTACATAAGTATGTGTTTATAAAAATGTTTAATTGAAGTGCTGTTGGGCCATTTAAGTGCTTGTGATATTTACTGAGTTGAATTTAGAGCTATTTGTTTTGTGAGAAGATACAAATCTTGCTTACTATTTTGCTTGTGTACATGTGTGTGTGTGTGTCTTAATATATAATCTAGTAATTCCATATACTGGTAATTGAATTTTAATTTGTTTACTTTTGAAGAACATCTGCAAATTTGAATAGCATCCGATTACAGTTACACAGGCTGTAGTCAAAACAATTTTAAGAAAAGAGCTCAAGATATAATAGTCTAAAAAGTTTTTCTTCCTTTAAATCACTGCAGCGATGACCAGCATTGGTAAAATGTTTGTGCTACGAAATATGGTGCATGGCTGGGAAATACAATCTCCTAATAGTAAAGCTTACTGATAATGCAAAATACTTTCCCCGAAGAAACTTTCTGGGTTTTTTTTTCTTTCTTTCCTCCTTTTTTCCAGGCATAAATTTGATTTCTCGTGTTCTTTTTTTTATTTTTCTTCTCTCCCTTTCCCCTTTGTTCTCCCTTTTTTCCCCCCTTAAAATTCCAAACAATGTAGGTGTCTAGTCACATACAGGTCTTAGCCAGGAAGAAAGTTCGAGAAATTCAAGCTGCCATTAAGGTACGTTTGGCTTGCCCAGTTGTAGGGGGCTTTTCATCTCCATGGTTACAGGCTTTTCCTTTGTTTCCCTCCCTTCCCCTACCCTGCAGGTGTCTAGTCACATTCAGGTTCTTGCCAGAAGGAAATCTCGTGATTTTCATTCCAAGCTGAAGGTATGCGCTTTTCTGCTTTGGGGCTTGTGGTTGCTATGCGTTTCACTTCCTGTGTTCCCTGGTGATTGGAGGAATGCCTGGGGCTGTGATTCTTGTAACCTAGTTTCCTTGCATGTGGTAGCTGTTGACATTTCTTTGTGTTTAATCTCCTTCCCTCCCTCTGATTTCTGCAGTAGCATCTATATTAAACTATTTTAACACCTTGGAATGCTATTCACTGTTTGCATGCCAACTTTATAGGGAAATGTGTCCTTGTTTTTTTTTTTTTTTGCTTTTAAAATCTCATTAGTAGATAAGTGTTTGTAATATGGGTGGGTGGGGAGAGAAAAACACTGGTTAAATAAAAGAAGATCTTTGTATGTGCTCAAGCACATATTGTAAAAGCTGAGATTTAAATCAGTATACCAGTTTTCCTGTATTGTTTTTAAAGATACATTTTTAGATGAGTGTCTAAATTCACACTTTGCCTCCAGTGATGTTATCCTTATCTGCAAAGTACAGAGTTTACCTCTGACAAATCGTTCTAGCCTCCACACTTTTTTTATATGAGCCACATGAAACAGCCTCATTGGCTTCTTCAGTAGAAAAGTTAGCCGTGTGCTTAATCAGCACTCCCTTAAAGATGTGGAAGTCTTTGTCAGATCTGATAAACGTGGGCTTTGCAGAAGAAATCCTGGATTCTCCTCTTACAGACTTAAAGTCCACAGAGCACAAGTAAGACTGGCTTTTGAGCACACAGAATGAAGATTGGGCTGCACAATTTCAGCTGGGTAGTTTCTTAAAGAGTATATATGCTGGGGAAACTCCGTATCACTTCACTTAAAATTAATGAAGAGGGTCGATCTTTTTTTCTCTTCCTAGTTTCCCCAAGAGCAAACAAAAACAGCAAACAATGCTTCATTTTCTCCATGTAAGAAATACAAATATTGCATTGCAAGCTCCTGAATATTTTTTTAATGGGAAATAAAAATGACAGCTCAAGTGAAGTTTTTTTTTCCTTTTCTTTCTATCATTTTTGTAATCATTCCTCTAAAAAAATACCGTAACAATTTGACCAAAAGAAACACATTTCAGCCTGTGAACTCTGTGTACCAGTCTTCTCAAACTTAATGTGCTCCAACTACAATACACTACAAGTTATATAATCCTAATTGGAATAGAAATTATGAAAGTTGTAGTCCAAAAACTCTGGAAGGCACCAGATTTGGGCACGGCTTCATTGTTTGAAATGCTAAATACCATCAGTGGCATTTGCCCCAGTCCTGGAAAAGAAAAATGTCAACCACAGATTCATTTTATAAGTGATCTGTTTGTCAGGAGCTTCTGGATTGACTCTGCTGCGGGCAGCATGCTGGCAGGCTTGTATGGCTGTTGGTGGCTGGCTTTTGAGCTGCACTGGCTGACTAGTTGGGGTTGATGAACAGCTAAGTTAACTTAAACATATTGCTTGTTAACCCAGGATGCAAAGATGGAGAAGGCTGTAGCGTTTCAGACTAAAACCATCCAATCTAATGACTAAAAGAAGGCGTTTTAGCTCGTATTTGGAACATTAAAGCAGTGTACTGACTTTTAAGCGCACAACCAAATTTATACTGGGCACCTGTAGCCTCCTTTGTGGACAATAAATTCAGTAATTTGTTATGTTATACCTAGCAAATTGCCTATTTACGTTGTCATGGTTCTGTTTTATGGAGAAAACATGTTGCTGTTTTTTCACCCACCACCTAGAATAGTAAAGTTTCCTTTGAGAAAATGTGCTTATTTCTTACTTATGCACTTCCTTTTGTTAACGATAGTGATGGTAGCGGCAATGGTGAAGGTGTCCCTTTTGCAGAGCAAATACCAATTGTATTTACAAACCCTCTTTCCCAGCAGGAACTTGACTTGTTGCCTCTCTATTGTTTAAAGTTTAGGGATCCTTTGTCCTGAATGCACTGCGGCTAAAGAATTTAAAGAATCCTTTGCTGCATTTTCAGAATGTTTGCTATTGCCACAATTTTAGGACACGAATCACTGCAAAGAGACAGGTCACCACAGTAATATAAGCTTTGAGTGGCAAGGGTAGTATCACCATCTGTGCAAAATTCATTTTTTACATGATGTAAATGAAAGAAAAGTTGTTCCTCTTATTAAAGAAAAGGTGGAGGACTAAATCGCATGGGACTCAGCCTTCAAGACTGCATCTATGTGGGGTTCAAGCTGGATATTAAGCCGATGGAAACTACAAAATTGGGAATGTCCTGTACTTATTTAAATATAGGGTAACCTGAATTCTCTAGAGTAAAACCTGCTTAGAGAAAATCTGGATGCTGCATCGAAATAAATGTAACATTGTGATTCTATTAATTCCAGATATATGCGTGGAGAGTCTAAAAAGTTAGATTGGTAAGAAAAAATGGCAACAGAGTTATGATAAGGCTTTCTAGACTTGATATTTGCTAAAAAAATAAAAAAGTGTAAGATAGCAGGCAACCTATTCTCTATCAGTGTGCTTCAGGGATAATATAAAAATATATTATTTTGGCACAATCTGAGTCCTCTAAGAAATAATACCCTTTATATTGTTCATTTGGGACTAGGAAAGAAATGGATTTTTTAAAAAAATCATTAACCTTGTATGAAAGACTTTCTTTCACCTTAACTTTCTAAACATGAAGGAAGATTTGGACAGAGGATAAAAATGGACAAAATGAGATAATATTTTATATGTATCAGGCAAATGTTAAGATAAATGCAAACTCGGCCTTCTCTCTAGCAGATTCTAATGAGTGCAATGCCACTTGCAGTTCTGTCTATTGAGCATGATTTGCTGAGGGACAGTTTCTGAAAAAGCCATCTATCTAATCTGAAGACTATAAATGATCACAGATCAACTACTGCACTTTGGAACATTTTTCATAACATAATGTGTGTTGGAGCATTTCTTAATGTTTTTCTGTAAAGTACTACTGTTCCATGAACAACTTTCATTGAAAGTAAATAGTATATACTGTATTTTTCGGACTATAAGATGCACCATGATTTTGAAGAGATAAATTTATTTAAAAAGTTTTTGCACTCTGCAGGCCTCCGAAACGCTCTGCATGCCTCATTTTTTGCAAAAGAAAAAAGAAAAAGTGTGTGTTTGTGTCTGTGTGTGCAGAGCTTTGGGAGGCTTGTAGAGTGCTCCTGGGGATTGGGGAAGGGCAAAAACAAAAAGGGCATGCAGAGGCTTTGGGAGGCTTGTAGAGTGTTCCTGGGGACTGCCCCCCCCCCAATGAGCAAAAATGGCCTGTTTTTTTGCTCATTTTTGCCCTCCCCAGCCGCCAGGAGCAATTTGTAAGCCTCCCAAACCCTCTGCACGTCCATTTTTGCAAAAGGGGTGGGGTTTCAGTAAGCCAAAAATGCTGTATTCAGTGTATAAGACGCACCCAGATTTTCACCCTCTTTTTTGAGGGGAAAAAGGTGCGTCTTATACTCTGAAAAATACAGTATTTAGCACTGCTAAATATAATTCACTTAGCACACCTGAATGCTGCATTGTTGAACAGCTGTTGCCTGCTCATACAGCTGGGGAAACCTTAAGTGAAATGATTTCATGCATCTCTTCAAAAGACAAGTAGTCCTCGACTTATAACAGTTCATTTAATGACTGTTCAAAGTTACAATGTTCAAAATTACAATGGTACCGAAAAGTGACTTATGACCATTTTTCACTCTTACAAGCTTTGTAGCATCCCCATGATCATGTGATCAAAATTCAGATGCTTGGCAACCAGGGACGTGCAATCACTAGAGGCAAGGGAGGCGGAGCCTCCCCAGTCTCCTGAGAGAAAGGAAAGAGTTTTAAATATATTTTTTT